CAAATCAGGATTCAAGGATAGATTTTACGAATAAGCTATCATTTCATTTATATCACTTGTTATAAAACGAGAAAAGTGGCAGGAAGTACTGATTTTTAATTATATTTTTATCAGATATTTCATATTGCCACACGCTTGGACTATTATATGAAAAATAAGACAGTAGTTATTTTAAGAATAGTACATATGTTCCAAGATTTGCGATGAGACAGGTCAGTCTCTAAAAGTTAACAAGACTTAATAGCTTAACAATGCTTTTCACTCTGTACGGTTCAGCAAATCACCAAGGCTATGACTAAACAACACAGTTCATCAATTTGTTAAACTTCTGCCAACCAAGCAACTAATTTTGCTAATATGATTTTAAAAGTTCAAGTTGACTTGATATCTTATGTTTTGTGGACAATTGCAAGTTTCTAATTACATCGCATTTTAATATTCTTTTATATTTAGGATAAGTTGTTTTCTAAAGTTGTGTTTTTATAAGATGTAATTACCTTCCTAACATTTAGGCTTTATGTGTCAGCTCTACTTGAACCTGGGTACTCTAGGAACATCTATAAAAATCATTAGAAAATCTACGAGAGCTCCTCTCTACTTTGGAAACAAACTGTTGCTGTGTGCCATTGAGTCAATTCCGACTCACAGTGACCCAATGTAACAAAGTAGAACCGTCCCACAGGGCTTCCTAGTCTGGAATCTTTACAGCAGCAGATCGCCAGGTCCACGTCTCTTCTTCCTCCGAGCCCCTGGTGGGTTCAAGCCGACCTTTTAGTTAGCAGTCGAGCCCTTAAACAAAGTGCCACCAGGGCTTCCGAAAACATAAACTAGATGAGCTTAATTTGCTTTATTCTGACAAGTTTTTTATTTAAAAACTGGTCACTCTTCATTTCCTGTGCTGTTCTGCATACCCTTTCCATGGTTCTTCTTCTTAAACTAATAATGGTGATCCTACCATACTAGGAACGAGGTAAGTCTTGGTGAATATCATCTGACAGTTCCTGAAAATTATTTTAAATGGATATTCACATACGCCTTCTTTGATGTTTTTGTCTTTCAAGAAAGTTAGCATGATCACATTTTGGAGTAGCCAGAATGGTAGACTGAAATCTATGCATCAGTTTTGGCATTATAACTTAGAAACTATGACTTTCAAAGGGTCACTAATTTCCTGAGCCCAAACTGCCCATCAATGACAGGAATATGAGCAATTACACATTTCTATACTGAAAAATTTTCCCATTAATTGTAAAGTCAATGTAACTTAAGTTATACATGCACACAGAGAGCTAAGTGAAAATAAGGGAATAAGAAAATTACAATTAATCCCATTAAATTCCCTTCCTCCTCCCAAACAGGAAAGCTAAGGTGGTAAAATGCTCAGAGAATTGCAAGGCATCTTCTTAACATTCACCTATTAATCTTCACAACACTCACGAAGCAGATATCAAGTACCTATAGTTTTACAGATGAAAGAACTGTAAAACTAAATGATTCCCCCAAGGTCACACACAAAGTTAGACATGAGATAAACTAAACTCTAGGACTCTGTACTCTTCATCATTTCTAATAAAACAAACAGTCATATTTCTAACTAAAAAGTGATACAATTACCTCACTCTGTATGCTATCCTCTACATCTGTGCTGTCCAATAAGATAGCCACTAGCCACATGTGACTATGAAGTACTAGTCCAAACTGAGATATGCTGTAAGTATAAACTACAAACTGGACTTTGAAGACTTAGTATGGAAAGAATATGAAATTTTATTAAATTTTTTTTTACACTGATTACATGTTGAAATGTTACTGTGGACATACTGGATTAAATAAACATTACTAAAATTAATTCACCTGTTTCTTTTAACTTTTGTTCAATATGGCTATCAGAAAATTATAAATTACATATGTGGTTTTCAGATGTCATGGTAAAACCTAAACCAAAGAGCAATTTTTTCCTAAAATTTGTTGTAGCACAACATAGTAGCCATAATGGGGGGGGTGGGAGGGGGGAACGACACAGGCATAATAGGTATTTTGAGAGACAGGCATGTGTCTAATTAACAAATACACAAAGGAGACCACTCTAGTACTCTCTTAGGTAACAAAAGATGTTTCTACTTCATTACAGGTATATGTGATTTTGAGTAAGTCATAATTAAGAGAAAGTATAACTCTCCATTAGAGTCATACATTGTTTCCTTAGGTGGAAAGTAAAAATAATCCTATTCTTAACGCACTTCCAAGGATATCAAAGTCATCAGATGATGCCCATAAGGCACTACGAACTTCTCAAAAATATGCCTAATGTATATTTATAGTTATATTTTTAAGAATCACATAGCATAAATATTCTTTTACTATAGACTCACTGCTTATTCTTATTTCGACTAAAGTAATAAGTATACAGTTAGAGAAATAACAATTTAAAAAATAAGGATCATGGGATAGCTGCTTTAGAAAACAGTCTGCCAGTTTCTCAACAGGATAAACACAGTTACCGTATGACCTAGCAATTCCACTCCTAGACATATACCCAAGAGAAATGAAAACATATTTACACAAAAACTTGTACACGAATGTTCACAGAAGTATTTTTCATAATAACTAAACAGTGGACACAACCCAACTGGCTACCAACTGAGATGAACAGATGAACAAAATGTGTTATATTCCCACAATGAAATATTACTTGGCAATAAAAGGAATGAGCTAGTGATACACACAACATGGATGACCCCTGAAAATATACTCAGTGAAAGAAACCAGTCACAAAAGATCACATACAGTATAATTCCATTTATATGAAGTGTCCAGAATAGGCAAGTCTGTAGACACAAAAAGTAGAGGAGAGACTGTCTAGGGCTGAGATGCAGGGACGGGGGAATGGAGAGTGACTGCTAATAGGTAGGGAGTTTCCTTCTCAGGTGATGAAAACATTCTAAAATTGATTGTGGCAATGACTGCACAACTCTGCACACGCTAAAAACCATTAAGTTGTACACTTTCAATGAATGAAGCTGTTTAAAAAATGCAGTCAGAAATGAAGAGAAAAAAAGGATTATAGTATATTTTTAAGCATGTAATTGCTATTTTTCTGGATTTTGTAACTTTGTGGTACTTGACAGCTTTTTCAAATTTGCAATTAGTGATTTTTTTCTCATTGTTGCACGACTTGGAAAATTTACTAAAAAACATACATTGTACATTTAAAATGACTGAATTTTACAGTATGTAAATTATATATCAGTAAAGATGTTAATTTTATAAAAACAGATCACAAAGATCACCTTAACATTAAAATAAACCATATCCCCATACACTTAATACTCCCTCAAACTATGAAACCCATTTAAGGCAGTATAAAGTACCTTACAGTAAGACAGAACGGCCACTAAAACAGCACAATCTACCATATATTAAGATTGAATTAAAATAAAAAAAGATTGAATGGCTTTGTGGAAAGCCCCCAAAATAGTTACGCAGTCAAGCAAATGCTCTCAGTTGAGAAACAATAAGATGGGAATTTGAAGCTCTCTCTATAAAAATGTGTAGAGGGACAACATAACACATACCACTTGATCGCTTTCTCTTAAGAAATAGACTCTTGATTGAGATGCAGAACGGAAGCATTAAAAAAACTACCTACAACTATTTACCTAGTCTGACAACTGAAGGGAACATGTATTCTATCAAAACGCTCAATGATTTCTGCGTGTATGTTTAACCCACACACCTTTTGTAGCCTGAGAACTCTGAGAGCAGCAGTATCTAAAACAGTGAAGTGTTTTTTTTTTCCCTTTTTAAATAATAAAACGTGATGGTGGCATTCCACAGCCCACCCCATCGCCCACCACCACCAGCAGGTGGAGGGAAAGGATACTGTAGACTAGGGGATGACAGGTTTGTAAAATCCTCTGCACTTTACATATAAGAATGCAGCTGGTGGTCTCCCCTCAGAAGGGAGTAAAGAGAATTGTGGACTAGCTGAAATAAGGGGCATCCTTTGCCTGGAAGAGGGCACACCGTGAGCCACGTCTTGAATCAGCTATATCCAGTGTAAAACACAGGCCGCTGGAAACACTGTTAGCATCACCAGGATGGCCTCTCAAGCCGGGGGTGTTTTTTTTCAACAGAGAAGTTGACTCCTGTAGTTTGGATCTCGGGGGGAGGCAGGGGTAAAGCGGGAGTCGGGAAGACCAGAAAAAACGCCTTTAAGTCAAGCCGCCTGGGGCCTCCCTGAGGAAGTTGCGAGCCCCACTCGGTCGCCACACGCTGGTCCTCCCCC